CGGTGCTCGGCGCTGTGCAGGAGCCGGGGAGCCGGGCTCGGCTGCCGGCCTCTGCCCCGGAGCAGGTGCCAGCCCTCGGCAGCGGGAAGCCGGAGCGGCCCCCGGAGAGGGGCGCGGGGGGCGGCGGGGGTCGTGCCTCGGCTCCTAGGGCTTTTCCCGCCTTTTCAGTCACCTCCCCTGGGCACCAGGCAGCGGCACGGGACGCCTTGTCCTGAGATAAGAAATCGGGGAGGCAGGCGGCTCCCCTGCCAGCCGTGGCAGGTGAAATGTGAGGGAGAGCCAGTGGGAGACGGGTAGTGGGTGCTATGCCCTGGCATTTCTCAGCCTCCCCAGGGACTGGGAGGACCTCCCCGGCCAGCCCCGCCGGCTCCCAGAACCCGACCTGGTTGAGGCTCCCTTGCAGCCCTTGCAAGGGACCGTCCCTTCACTGGCACCTGTGCCCTTGTCACCACAAAGTACCCTGCTCTTGCCCAGGATGAAATGGAGAGGAGAGGTGTATGCCCACGGGCTTGCACTCCTCATTATTCTCATCAGACCCATGGCGGGGCGGGGGTGGAGACCAGGTCTTGTCACCTGGGCACTTGGAGGAACTCTGGGTTGTTCCTCAGTCCAGCTGCACTGCTCTTTGCTTTCTAAAGTAATGTCGACCAAGAGGGTCCAGAGATGCATTGAGGCAGGGAATAAGTTTTGAATCCGAACGCCAAAGCGTCCAGCTGGATTGCCTTTTGCTGTGCAATGTTCCATGTATAAAACAGAGGGAGCTGCCATACTTTTATGACAGTTATGTTGAGCAGTTCTGTTAGGTGAGTGGTGGGGCTGGGCCCCTCCTGGGTGTTCGGGTGTGGGGAGGAAACGTAAAAAAAGTGGGGGACGCAGAGCAAGGTGGGGAAGGTACAGGTCTTGATGCAGGGGTCTCTGGGGAGGGGGGTACTGTGCACTCAGATGGGCTACAAGTTTCTGAATGAGACTTCCTGGGGACACTGGTTTCCACACTGCTATTTTGTGCTCTGAAGGGATGTAAGTTTCCCAGTTAGGATTTGGGTTTGGGGACCTGGGGAACTACTGGTCCTAAATCTCTGAGCAGATCTCTAAGCCAGTGTTTCTCAACCTGTGGGTCCCGAGATCATATGAAAGGGTTGCAGACAAACTTTTTAAAAATATATCAACAAACTTTAAAAATGGAGTCTCCTTTAAAGGAGAAAAATGTGGGAAACGGTGGCTTTTCCCTTGCAGGCTGGCAGAGCTCCAGCCTGCCCCTCCAAGGGCTGCTGGGTGGTCCCCCATACTTCCCTCCCCCACCTCACACATTGTGGGGCTGGGGGTGGGGGGCAATGGGTTGGGACTGGTCATCAATGTTTATAAATGGGGCCTGGTAGAACAAAGGCTGAGAACCACTCACCGCTTAAGCGATCTCTGGTGCCAAGTTGTAAGCAGAGGTTCCAGGGCATGGAGGGATACAAGTGTCCCAGCAGAGGTTTGCATGCTGAAGCCTGAGGGGGCGCATGTTGCTGAGCAGGGGTTCCAGGGCTGGAGTGAGTGTGGCCCTTGGAGCGTAGAGTCTAGGGCCTGAGGGCAATGCAGATCTTGGAGCAGGGCCCACACGACTGCATCCTCAGAGAGTTCTGCATTACTCCATGAGCCAAGTAGCTTAGAGTACTCAGGGTTCATTTTGCTTTCATTCTCTACCTCTGTCTCCTGTCACCCCCATCTTCTACCCTTTCAGCAGGGCTCCATGAGGAAATGGTTATACTGTACCCCCAACTGCCCTTCCTTGAGCTCTGTACAGGGCACTAGACGCCCGTGTGTAAAGGCAATGGATTTTTCCATATTCTGCTTTGTTCAATGTTAAAAGGGTACCTGACAGCCCATCAAACATATTCTGACTCTCACAGACCTGGCTGGTGCTCAGGCAGTGACGGACAACGTAATGCAAAGGGACATTACCAATAACCAAAGTGAAAATTCAGATCAACCCTGTGTCAGAGCAAAAAGTGTTTTCAGGATGGTTGTCATACACTATTCTGTACCATACATGAGATACCTGTTAGAGCCAGCCAAACACTGTCATCTTCGAATACCAGTTTAAATGTTCACCTTGTCTATTTCAAACATCTGTCCCTGGCATGTTCTGAAAAGGCAACAGGGGGCAATATGGAAACCAGATCACTTTAGCCCCATATGGGATAGGATAAGGCAAAAACAATGGGAGTCATGCAGCAGAAGTGTGAGAATCCCACAGTCCTGGGTTTTGGGATCAGATCAGTCGTAATAAAGCCCTCTGCATACCAAGTGATATTCCTGAGAGCACGTGACTGAGTGGAACAATGCGGCAGGAATGTGTGAAGGGGTTTAGGACGGCTGGGACAGGATTAAAGTTGTGTAAAGTAACAAGTTGAGCACTAGTAGACATTAATACGTGCTTTAACATCGGGACACCGGGCTATCCCTGTTCTTGGCTCCTGAAAGAACAGTGGCTACAGATGTCTTCATGAGCTGCTGTTGGGCTTTGAGTGTTATTAGTGGAGGAAACCAAATAAGTGTTGGAGGGAAGAATCAGTCAGTGAATACAACAAACAAGTGCGGCAGTGAAAGAAATCCATTTTGCAGTGTTTATGGTGACTTACTGCATATAAATCATACCTAACTGTCCCTTACAGGGTAGTGTTGTCAGGGCTTCAGTGAGCTAACCTTGACTTACTGTCATGTATGTACTCTGGGTGCTTCTTTCTCTGAGGAGTATTACTTAAGAGTCATCAAAACAGATTTTAGCTGAGGACGGGAACAATTTTTAAGCAACCGTTTATTGACAAACTCTTACCACATTGGCATACCACGTACTTGCTTGTTTGGTCCTCTACTGTGTTTGATAACAGAAGAAATTTTGGTTCTTTGATGAAGACAGTTTTTGGCTCCTATCATTTCAGGACTGAAATTAATTTGGGTTGAGTTCTAAGGGGCTGAGCCAGATTCTGTCCTGAGAATGCCAATTTAAAGGCAGGCAATTCCATTGATTTGAATGGAGGTGTTTATGTTTTATTCTGTAATGGAGATCAGACCTTGGCACATAACATTTAAACTGTAGTGTTCAGTTTTACCTGTACTAACACTTCAGCAATGCCAGCATGGTTTCATCAGCTTATGTAATACTGTGTCATCAGTCTGCAGCCATGTCCTGTGGTATCCAACACTTTGGATGCCTGTTATATGGGATTCTTTGGATGTCCTCCAACTTAGTGTGGCATGCACATGTGTGTCCATTTTGCATCAGATACACTGGTAATCTTAGGATCATCTCTGCAGTAAGGCTCAGCAGAGTGTCCCCAGATACAGGAGCAAAAGCTAATATGTGCATGAACATTTCTTACTGGGTCATGTATTGAAAATGAAAATGGGTAAAAGGCCACAGCACACAGGGAAATGAGAGTCACCTCATTAGCACAATTGACATATGAAACAGCTATACTGTGCATATGCCATTAGCAGTTGTCTCGTGTGTGCGGATAATTCCATTAACACACTCCCAAGAGTGTGCTGGAAACACTATTAGCTCTCTCTCTCTCTGGTCCTCATCATCGTAATATCTTAACGCCTCTCTAGCTATTCTTTTAGCCACATTGTTGGTGGTGTCTCATGCATACAACTGCTCCTGCTTGTTTGGTTTAAATGTTTTCTGCATTACCACCTCCCATCAAACCAGAGCCTTGTCCCACTGCTGGCTGTGTGGGGTTTTTTCTTTCATTTTAAATATTTCTCAGTTGTGTTTTTATCCAGGCGACACATGGAATGATTTATCTGTGTCCGGAGCTGAGTTGGGGCTTGGCACATTCCGCTTGTCGGATGGGGGCAGGAACATTCCACAGCTGGCACCGGGCTAAATGTGCAAGGGAGCCAGAGCTGAAGTGGGAGGACCAAGGGGCTTATTCTGCAGAAAGCAGTGCTCCTGGTGGAAAAGAAGTGGAGCTGTGTGTTAGAGAAGCCTCCTGTTAAAGGCGGGGCAGGGGGAGCCCTGCTGCAGTAATAAAGCTGCAAGGGATCTGGCATGTTTCAATAGTGCGAACAAGCCTTGTGGCAGGGTAGAAGCAAGGACCTTCCTCATTATAGAGCCTGATTATCACTATCAGGCAAAATCAAGATGCATCCTATCACAGGAATCACACCGCAGGAATTCATGGTCAGGTACAGCTTTCTTAAGCCCCCAGCTCCTTCCTGATTCCCAGCTGCATCTCACTTGAGGCTAGATGCATGAGGCACTATGTGAGGAAGGAGGCATGGA